ACATGTAGAATTTACACTTGAAGGCTCTAAACCTGCAGGCCTTTGCAGACATGCTTTTTTTTTTTGCACGTGAAACATGAAAAAATAATCTGGTTGCTTTTAACTCTTTGGAACAGTGACCATCTTTTTGTTTATATCACACAGGTCCCTATCACAAAGCCATACTTTATACTCATCTATGAACAGGGTTTCTATACCTTCCCTTCGTTAAAAAACCAAAACAACACTAGCAAACCCCAAACTAGTAAGTACTCATTATCTAAGATTTAACCATAATTGGCAATTTGATTAAAGTCACACTTTAAACTACAACAATGTATGCAATGTGTACTGGAACTCCAGTACCCCCAGTTTAACAACATATTATGCACCCTCCAATTACTGCTTAAGAATTGAAGACAACATTGGATTTTATAAATTGGGGATGATGGTGATTCCTTTGGGTCTGGTAAGAATCTCTACTCTTACAAGCTAAACAAATATTTACAGTATGCCCACTGTAAGGGTCTCTTCTGCTAACTGAATTAAATTTTAACAGGATTTACTTGCCACTATGAGTTCTTTAAAAGAAGACAACAGTATAGTTAAATGTTAACACAGAAGCCCTGATTCCATGTTAAAAAGATCATATATGCTATGATATATAATGAAAAATGATAAATATATGAGAAATTAGGATGAGTTTATTTTGCTGTTCATTCTAAAATTTCCATTGCAATCCCAGCTTTCTCTCAATGGAACTGTTTTGCTTTTTCTATCCCATATCAATAACATAATGTCATTTCCCTACCTGGATAGAGAAGGCTGGTACATTTTTTAAATATATTTTACTCAACTCTACAGTTCTGATGTATAAACTTCTTTTTTCATTGTTTAGTTGCAAAAAAAATTTCTTCTAAAAAAATCAGTGTTTGCATTCTGAAAATGACTATATGGTACTTAGAGAACTGGAGACAGAATTGTGTTTATGAAAACTTCTTCTCTTTTCATTCCACTGAGCTAATAAAAGCTGTCCTCTCCAGACAAACTTTATCTTCCTTACATCCTTAGATATTAGCTTTACAGATACAGCAACACTACACAAGGTCGTATTCAGCATTAAGCAAGTAAAATATGGACCTAGAATATATTACGCTTCTTAGTTGTGATACCATTATTAAAGTATTACTGCTGGAAGGACTTCTTATTGTACAAATTAAAAGGAACACAGTAGAAAGAAGCAGAGGAAAAAGAGTAGAAAGAAAAGCTTTGACATGTACCTAGCTGATCTGCCAGATGTTTCCCCTTCTCCACAGGAACAATTCTTTCATCCTCCATGTCACATTTGTTTCCGACCAGGATCACTTGTGCATTGTCCCAGGAGTAAGTCTTGATTTGTGTGGCCCTACAGCAGGTCAAAAAAGATTGTTACCTTGAATCAGCCGTGCCAAAATACAACCGTATATTACGTATGAAAACAAGTACCATTGAAGACAACATCAACATCTCAAGACTGTATGTTGGTTAAAAGACACATGACCAAGCTTACACATAAAGCAAGAATGCAGACTATGTCATTTATAGCACCATTCTATTTTACTACTCCTTAACTTTGTGTGACAATAAAGTTACTTGCTAAGACTTTGCAAATGTTTTAAAGATCATGAGATCCAGTCAAAAAGCTGAACTGAATAATTTTTGAAGTCTAGGGAAAAAAAAGCATTCTTCTAAAGCTCATTCTCCTTCAGCTGCAATCTGTCAGAGGAATGACAATCAATTACAACTCTTAAGGCTACTGTCCCTATAGAGAAAGCCACACAATAGATACACACTTCATGCTAGATTTACAACTTCTTGTAAAACACATCACAACGATAGTTCAGAGCAGACAAAAAAGATACTCATTTGCTGCAGCACATTTGCTGCAGAGTTTTTAGTAACACCACAAGAAATTGTGTTTTGAGAGTCAAATGGAAGCATCAAGTCATCTTTGCTTGAACAGGAAAAATGGTTCGTGGAGACTGAAAAATTGCATAGAAACGTGGAAACTATTGCTAAAAAGAAACAGAAATTTACCAAATTGGGAAGATATGGGATCAAGGTAAGGCTCTGTGAGCTAATATTTGAACCCAGCAGGATTAAGTGATACCTAAGGCAGGGAACAGCAGATGCAATGACAGACGGCAAGTATCAGACAAATGCTAACTTCAGTGACAGAGGGATCAAGTGCATGGGAGCTTAAGCAGGAGCACTGGGATGAACTTAAAGCCTCTAAAGCTCTCTGTGGCTCATGTGCTGAAACTGGATTGGAGCTAGCTGTGGATCCCAGGAGTCTGACCTTACATTTGGCTTCTTTATAGATTTTCTATGACAGAAGATTTTTTTTTTTTCTATTTATCCTGAGGGGCCAGTCCTTTCCCACCATCCTCGGTGAGGTGTCACAGAACCAGCAGCAGAACAGTTTTAACTTGGTAGCATTCATTTTCATCCATTTTTTCAGAGCGGCCCAACCTGTTTTATCTTCACCAAGTCAGGTCTATCTTTTAAGACTCCCTCCTTCCCAAAGGTAATTAGGTTGCTCTACCAGAAGCGATACACTCCTTCCCTCCTCCACCCCTCCTCCAGTCCCTAACTCACCTTCCCACTCCTTGTCCCTGCTCGCCACCCCTCCATACAGGACACTGCAGTTTCAGGCAAACCTGCCATTTCCCAGGAGAGCCAGGAGTCCCCTCAGATTTCACTTCTGTTTAGCTTGCTTGAACTCCCTTAACAATAAAGCATTTGATTCCTTCTCTTTTGAATTAGCAGCAGCCTCCAGCTCTGATCTACTAATGATAATTTTTAATTAGTTTGAGTTGCTTACTTGCCTTTTCCATGGAAAGCAGACAGTCATGTTACTCCATAGGTATCTGTGAAAAAGGGGGTCATTTCACTGTGCAACTTCCCTGCAAGCAGCAGCCTGTTTGGATTGCACTAGGAAAACATAAACCTAAGCAAAGCCCACTGCACAAGCCCAGACCCATACTGCAACACACAAAAAAAATCAACGACTTTGTGCAGTGAAACTTCTTACTCTTTTTAGCGTCCTCCTCCTGGAAAGACACTCACTCCAATCCCAATTTTGGCTCCTCCACTTTCACCCTTTTGAGTGCCTGCATGTAGACAAGCCCTGTGAGAGCTCAGATGAGTCTGTGATGAGTTTATGCGGTACTCTGGGGTTTCTCAAGGCTCATCACAGAAAGGGATGACCTCAGAAATCAACCAAAGCCCAGGAAGATGGAATCTCCCCAGTCTCCGTCTATAAGCAATAGAGAGAAAGTAAGTCTGTCCAGGTTCAATTTAAAACACCTACAACCAGGCTTCTTTTCTGACTCCCATTTCTCTCTCTGGATTCATTTCAGCCCCTGGGGGGTCATATGGGGACACACTGCCAAATCCTAGCTATTTAAACAGAATTATTTAGAAAATGAAAAAGAAGAAAAAAGCATGAAGGATCTCCCACAGAAAATCATCCTTCTCCTTGTTTGTACAACTTAGTGAAAATCCTCTCTTGCAGAACACTGCCATTAGGAATAAAAACAAACAAACAATCAAACAAAAAGTTATGAAGAAAAATGTCTAAAAGAAACCCTGATCCCCATACAAAAAGAAAGGCAGCAAATTTCCAGAAGCTTTTGGAAAGGTAAATAAATAAATAAATGAAAAGGCTTGCACAGTTGAGATGTTTCAACAACTATCAGGGCAGTCCAATATACACACTGGGAAAAATATATTTCTGTGACACAATAACAATGCTGTGCCTTATTTGTGCTGAATTCCCCAAATTAACAATAAAGCATGGTTTTTATGCTTCACGCTTAGAAGAAAAATAGTCTCTCAGGTTCACAGTTACGTGGAGATATCAACAGCCTAATTTGGAGATCAGCCTTAAAGATAAATAAAGCTGATGATTTGTGAACCCAGCTGTCACTTAAATCTAAGTTAAATTTAACCAATTTTTTCTTCCCTTCTATGAAATTGTCTAGGTTGTCCAAAGCAGAGTTTCCATAATAGTTTCTATTTACTTTACAGTATTAAATGCTGAGTATATTCTAGTTTCAGTACAGTTTCAAATGAGGTATAAACCAGTGATTTATCTACACATAAAACTATCAAGCCAATGTCAAATAATATCTGTCAGAGAAGCCTACTAAAAAAATCTAGAAACTGAGCTGAAAGCCATGAAAGCTCCTTTAACCCTTTCACTCACCCTACAGGAAAGATGTCTTATTATTCAAACAAAATAATTAGTTATTTTCAAATATCAGATAAAATCCATCTTTGCTTTTGCTCATTTATGCTTTTTCTTCTGAAATAACCTGACTGTACTCTTGCCACACTGCAGTAATGAAAATCACTCAGGCTTAATCTCTTAAGGCTTCTCATACAATCTGCTATACCTTTCCCAGTGAAGGAACGAGAACAGGTCATGTCCTAGATACTCCCAAATGCATTTAAATTGTTTATCTTACTCTTTCTCAGCTGCTTTAAGATAATTATCATTAATTAGGGTGATTCATGTGAATGAAGGAAAGACTGTACCTCACATTCATATACTACCTCAAGAGCTTGTCTAAATACCTGATATACAGCCATGGTCCTCCTCATTCAGGAGAAAGAGTGCCTTTACTTGGTTTAAGATAAGTATTTCTGGAGTGACACAAAGCAAACCAGAATCCTCTTTAGGACATCCACCTATAAGAAGGGTGCAGTAAAAAGATCACCCAAGGAAGAAATCATATGGCAGACTGGAAGAGATATTCTCATTTCCCTTGTGGGCAGGTGAGGCCAGGTAAGGAGGCTGTTAAAACAGTCACATGCCAATGAGCCAGAGATGAAAGGTAAATTGCACCATACATACGTGGGAGGCAGTGTTAGAGGGGATGTTGGAGCTTCGTGAAAAGGCTTGGAGAATAATAAGGCTAGTGAGCAAAACCTGCTATGCCAATTTCCCAGCTAGAGGGAGGATATAAGCTCTAACATACTGGTGAGGTCTAGAAGGGAAAAGACTTTTCTCTGATGGAGAGCTGACTTTGCACAAGGCTACCTTCCCATAATTTCAGTGTAATTATGAAGATGAATTTTGAAATCTATGCACACCCCTATGAGTTCAACAGAAGGTGAGAGTTTGTCATGGGTGAGAGCTTACTTGGAGTGCTAGGTCTCTGGTTCAGCTGTTTGTTCATGCTTTTGGCTTGTTTTCTGTAGGGAACTCTGCAGGAAGAGACGGTACAAGAAAAAGCAGTGAGATGCGCTGAGGCTTATGTTGACAGCCTGCTTACACAACATCTTAAAAAACCTGAATCACTGAACAGCAATAGGCATGGCACCAGCAAGAAGGAACAAGCTTTAGACTGGAGAATGTCCTACTGTAAAACACATAGATGACTACTGTACACAACTTAACCCATTCCAAAGTTTTGTGAATGGGTACAATTTTAGGATCCAGGAACGGGCACCAGGCCTGCTGGCAACAGATGGAGTTCAGCTGTCTCACAGGGGGAAAAGGATTCTCGCTCATGAATTGGCAGGGCTCATCGAGAGGGCTTTAAACTAGGTTCAAACGGGGAAGAGGATAAAACCAGGCTCACTAGAGATGAGCTTGGGGTGGCATGCCGATGCTGGGGGCGAAATCGGTAGCCCAGCTCAAGTGCATGTACACCAATGCACGCAGCATGGGCGGCAAACAGGAGGAGCTGGAAGCCATTGTGCAGCGGGATAGATATGATTTAGTCGCCATCACAGAAACACGGTGGGGTGACTCTCATGATTGGAGTGCTGCAATGGATGGCTATAAGCTCTTCAGAAGGGACAGGCAAGGAAGGAGAGGCAGTGGGGTGGCTCTGTATGTTAGGGAGTGCTTCGATTGTCTAGAGCTCAACGATCGTGATGATGATACAGTCGAGTGTTTATGGGTAGGGATGAGGGGGAAGGCCAACGAGGCAGATATCCTGCTGGGAGTCTGTTACAGACCACCCAACCAGGATGAAGAGGCGGATGAAGCGTTCTACAAGCGGCTGGCAGAAGTCTCACAATTGCTAACCCTTGTTCTCATGGGGGACTTCAACTTCCCGGATGTCTGCTGGAAATACAACACGGCAGAGAGGAAACCGTCTAGGAGGTTCCT